AGCGCTCGTCCTCGTCGGCGTAGTCCGCCTTCCGCGAGGCCGTCTCCGGGCGGCCCGCGGTGTCGCCGCAGAAGAAGGAGCCCGGCGGCGGCGGGCCCGTGGGCAGGCCGAGCTCCGACGCGGCGCCGCGCCACATGCCGCGGCCGCCGCTGGCCTTGTGGCAGTTGCGCCCGTCGCCGTGCTTGTCCGTCGCGACGCAGACGAGCATGGGCGCGTCGACGAGTTCCGCGAATTCCTCCAACCGCGCGAGCTTGTTCCCGAGCTGGCGCGCGGCGGCGTCGCGCCGCCCCTTGGAGACGAGGTGCGTGAGGGACTCGTTCGTCGCGATGACGAGCGCGTAGCCGTCGGCGTGGAGCTCGCGGAGCACGCGGGGCACGTGCGCGTACTGCAGCACGAGGCGCGAGCCGACGCGGAAGTGCTCGTTGTCGCTCAGCGTGTTGTCGAAGTCGAAGCCCGCGACCTTGGCCCCGCGCGGCGGCGGCGCCCCGAAGGCGCGGACGACGAGGCTGCCGTCCGCGGCCCAGCTTTCCGGCAGCGGCAGGCCCTGGACCGCCGCGGCCCGGAGCCGCTTCGCCGGCGGCTCGCCGTCGTCCTTTGGGAGGACGTCGCCGCGCGTCGCCGGCGCCGCGCAGGTCTCGAGGTGGCGCTTCAGCGCCGGCACGTTCGCCGCGGCCGCGCCGCAGCGGTGGCAGCGGAGGCCGTCGGGCGCGGCCCGCTTCGAGAGCTCGTCCGCGACCGTGCCCGAGCCCTCGGCGACCCAGAGCTCGAGCTCCGACGCGTCGACGAAAAGATCCGTCGCGAAGGAGTGGAAGTGCTTCTTCGTCTTGAGCGCGTCGGCGACGAGGTCGACGGAGACGACGTGCGCGTGGAGCGGCTCGAGCGACGGCCGCGCGTGGTAGCCGACGCGGAAGCGGAGGCCGTCGCGCGCGAGGTGCGCCGCCGCCGCGCGGCAGGCCGCGTGGAGCGCCCGGAGCGCGGGCAGGTGCTTCGGCCGGAGCTTCCGCACCGAGGCGACGCCGTCGAGCGGCGACCCGCGGGGCGCGAGGGCCAGGAGGTGGCGCCGCGCTTTCGGGTAGCCGTCGTAGACGAGCAGCGCGTCCGGCGTCTCGCAGTAGCGGAGGCTCGCGTGCGGCGCCGCAGCGCGTCGCGGAAGTCCGCCGGCCGCGGCGGCGTCCCGGGGTGCGCGTACGCGGGGAAGGGCGGCGGCGCGGCGGCGGGCGCGGGCGGTTCAGCGGGCGGCGGCGCCTCGGGCGGCGGCGCGGCCGGCGGCGGCGCCTCGGGCGCGGGCGCTGGCGCCTGGGGCGGCGCGGATGCCGGCGGCGGCGCGGCGGGCGGCGCGGGCGCCGGCGCGGCGGTCGGCGCGGGTGCCGCCGCCTGCGGCGGCAGCGGCACAAGTGCCGGCGCCTGCGGCGGCGCCGGTGCAGGTGCCGCTGGCGGCGCCGAGGTCGCAGCGGCAACCGGCGGCAGCGGCTCCTTCGGAGTGTGGCAGATGGCGCACGCGAGAAAGGATGCCTCGTGGGGCTGGTGCTTGTAGGTGCACGTCTCGCACACCCACATGGTAGCACGCGCAGGTCTTGGCGACGCGCCCGCGGCGAAGAGCACCGACCGCGCGCGTCCAACGCGCCAGACCGCTCTCCCAGCTCGTTTGTAAGTGCAACGACTGCAATATTACTGCATCATTGAACTAATGTACGCCGCGCTGCCGCGAGAGTCGCGAGCGCGTCGCGGTCCCGGTCCGCGTCGTCGGCGTCGTCGGCGGCCGTGGCGGATTTGTCGTAGTCGCAGTACCAGAAGGTGACGGCGACGCGCGGGTCGTCCCAACCGGAAGACAAAGGGCGGACCTCGTGGACCGCGGTCTCCGCGGCGAAGGCGACGAGCCGGTCCGCGAGCGGCGCGATATCGCGCCCGTCGACGCGGAGCTCGCCGCCGTCGCCGATGGATTCGTTGGCGTAGTAGACCAAGGTGAGCCGGCGGCCGTTCGTGCCCCGCGGGTTGTCGACGTGTTTCGCGTAGCCCGGCCCTCGCTCGAAGATGGCGTACTGCGGGTCCGAGCGGTGCCGCAGCCGGTCCGGCGGCGCGCAGTCGACGGCGAGGCCCGCGAGCGCCGCGGCGAGCGCGTCGCACGCCTTCGCGAGCGCCGCGAGGCCGTCGGACGCCGGCGCCGCGAAGCGGCAGCGGTCCGCCCGGACCGCGGCCTCGCGCAGGTCGTTGGCCACGCGGCCCGCGGCGAAGGGCGCCGCCGCGTCGAGCGCGAGGACGTCGCGGCGCACCGCGCGCGCGGTGGCCGTGCCGAGGAAGCCGTCGCGGACCGCCGCGCGGCCGTCCCGCAGCGCGGCCGCGACGGCCGGCGCGGCGCGCGCCGCGGCCGCGGCGCCGCTCGCATCGTCGTCGGCGTCGCCGGCGTCGTCGTCTATGGACACGAGCGCGAGCACGGCGGCGGACACGTCGCGCCGCGCGTCGTCGAGCCGGTCCGCGAGGGCGGCGTCGGCCTCGGCCCGCTGGACGCTCTTGGTCATGTTGCCGACGCTCGCGTTGAGCAGCGCGAGGGACGCTTCCAAGGCGGCCATCTCCTTCGCGAGCTCGTCGTCGAGGTTATCCGCAGCGGCGGCGAGGCTCGACATGGTCCCATAAGAAGGCTGCCCCAAATTGAAAGTTCGAACGTTCACCGTGACGATGCACATCAACTTAGCCCGCCCGAGGACCCTAGTCGACGCGCTGCTTCTTGTCCGGCGGGGACGCGAGGCTGTTGCCTGCGCCGGCGAACGGGCCGACGACCTCGCCGCGGAGCTGCGCGCCGAGCGAGGGCCGCTCCGGCTCGCGGCGCGACTCGGGCGCGATGACGGCGGCGACGACGCCGCGCCGCTGGCGCTGCTCGCGGATTTGGAGGCTCATCCGGTAGCACCGCCTGGACTCGGCGTCGCGTAAATATTCTGGGTACATCGCGAGCGCCTCGGTCCGTGCCTCGAGGACCGTCTTCGCCTTCTTCTTGCGGCCGCGCCCGAGCACCGTCGGCCCGCGCGTCGCCGCGGCGTCCGGACGCGACACGGCCTCGCTCAGCGCGCGCAGGTCCGCGGCCGGTCGCTCGTCGGCGACGCCGCGAACGCCGTGGAGGTTCCCGTGGGCCGGGCTGCCGTGGAATAGGATGACTGTGCCGCTTTTCATGTCGAGGTTCGTGCAGTGCGGACAGTCGCGGAGCTTGTCCGACATGCCCATGCCGGGTCGCCACTTGCCTGAAACTTGTTCGGCGAAGCTCCAGGCCCCGCGGTAATTGTATGCTCCATTTTCCGACCAGGGTTTTTCGCAGCACGGCCAGCCCGCGCCGCGCGACTCTCCGACGCTGATTGGCGCCATCTTCCCGAGCGAGACCGAGTCCTTGAGCAGGCCATTGCAAAGGAAGAATTGCCCGGTCGCCCCTATGCTCAGGAGCGCCACCCAGCCCGCGCCCGGCGCGTCGAGGTGCGGGTGCATCCAGGCGTCGCCGCCGTCGCGTGGGCCGAGCCCATCGTAGCGGTGGACCTTGCCTTCGACGTCCGCGCGTCGCTCACCGTCGTACAACGCGCGGCGCACCTCGTCGTCGCCGGGGAACTGGTCCAGGGCCGCGGCCTTGGCCTTGGCGAGGAGCGGTGCGAAGAGCGTCTCCACGGATCCGTCCGACTCGTGATCCTCCGTATCGTGCGAGTACATGACGCGGTACTTGTCGCCGCAGTTCGCACCTCCAGCTACGCCGCAGTGCATGCCCGACCCCTTCTTCGCGCCGGAGATGTCGCCCTTCATCAGTCGCTCCAGCATGCCGCCGAGCTTCATGCCGTGCGCGCCGTCCCAGTTCTCGAACATCACCACGGGGGATACTATCGGGTTCACCAGCTCGCCCGTCTCCGCGGTGAGGCGCCGGTAGAACCCTAAATTCTCGCGCCGGAGCACGGTGACCTTCGCCGCCGGATGCAGGTCCGGGAACGGGATCTGGCGGCTCACGCGCTGCGCGGCGGCCACGCCCGAGCGCCCGTACCAGCCCGCGCGCAGCGACGTCTGCTCCGCGACCGTCGGCGGCTGCTCCGCGCGCGGCTCGGCGGCGGGCGGCGCCGTCTCCGCGCGCCGCTTCGCCTCGCGCGCCTTGCGCTCCTTGGCTAGTTGAGCCATCGAAAGAGCCATCGACGAGGGCGCCGCCGGCGCGGGGCGCGGTTTCGGCGGCGCGGGCGGCTCCTGCGGCGGCGGCGGCGCGGATTCGTCGTCGCTGAGGGTCAAGTCGATCGTAATCGCCGCCATCGCGCCGCGTCACCTTCGCCGCGAGGGCCAGCGGGATCCGTGCGTCGGCGTCGGCGACGGGGAGGTGGAGTGTCGCGAGTGACGACGGCAGAGGCAAGGGGATTGAGGCGCTCTCAGAGACTCGGGCACTCGGAGAGCAGCCGAGTTCAGTGCGCAGCAACAACTTGAACGTCAATATGAAGCGTCTAGTCCGCCTACACGCCTCCTCTATCTTCATTCTTATTGACAAAGCAGGCAGGCCGTGCCCGCGCGACGCCGCGCGCTGTTCGCGCGCGGCGCCCGCGGGCCGGCTGTACACGCGATGGCGCGCTGGTCGCGCGCGGCTTCGTTCCCTCTCAGGCGGGCTCCGCGTCGCTCGCGTCGTCGAAGTACTGGCCCCAGCTCGCGTCGCCGCCGCGCGGCGACGACGGCCCCGGGTTGAGGAGGGCCGCGTCGACGAAGGTCTTGGGCAGGTCCGTGTTCACGTAGGACGCGCCGCAGAAGGACACGAGGTGGCTCGCGGTGACGAAGTCGTCCGGGTCCCGGTCCTTGTCGCCCCAGACGCCGACGACGCGCCAGCGGTCCGCGAGGGCCCTGAGCGCGGCGGAGCCCGCGGGCGTCTCGCGCATCGACCGCTGGTACTGCACGTAGAGACCGTCGAGCCCCGCGGCGGCCTTCTCCGCGGCCTCCGTGTCGCCGTCGACGTCGAGCAGGATCTCGCCGTGCAGGGGCCGCTCCGCGACGGTGAGCAGGAGGAAGTGGGGGAGCCGCGCGTCCGGGAGGCCCTCGCGCAGATCCCTCGCGAGCGTCTGCACGAGGTACGCGTCGAAGGACATGAGCACGGCGACGCAGCCCAGGAGGTGGGGCTGGTCCTGGAAGAGGGCCAGCAGCGCCGCCGACGCCGCGACGTTGCCCGGCTTCAGCTCGACGACCATCTTCTTCCGGCCGAGGTCGCCCAGCCGCGCCGCGGACGTGAGCACGTCCGCCAGCAGCGGCGGCCGGCAGCCGTTCTTCAGCGGCAGCGACATGATCTCCGCGAGGGATAGCTCGCCGACGAGCTGGGACCGCTTCTGCTCGCTGCCCGGCACCTTCAGCGCGAGCCGCTCGAAGCCGAAGTCGTGGCAGAGCACCAAGGCGCCGTCCTTGGACACGGCGACGTCGCACTCGGCCAGCGCGAGCCCGGACGTCCAGGCGACCTCGTAGGCCTCCAGGCTATTCTCCACGGGCCGCGCGTCCGTGCGGTCCGACGTCGCGTGGAACCCCCGGTGCGCGACGAGCGCGTCGAGGACGTCGCGCGCGTCCGAGCGGCCGACGGCCGCGACCGTGCCCCGGAGCCAGGCGACCTCGCGCGCGCGCACGCAGGACCCGCCGACGGCCGTCATGGCCGCCCAGGACGGCGCGGTCTGGAGCGCCGCCGCGGAGCCGCGGCTGAACTCGGCCTCGGCCGGTTCCCGCAATTCCTCGCGGAACTCCTCGAGGGACCCGTCGAAGACCGTGCCGATGCGCGACGCGTAGAGCCGGGGCAGCAGCGCGGGGCCCAGGCGCGCGGCCCCGCCGGCCTTGTCGAACTTCTTCACGGCCTTGCGGAGCGCGTCGCGATTCGCGTCGCCGGCGGCGCGCATCTCGACGTAGCGGTCGCAGACGGCCCAGGCCGCCGTCGCGCCCTTGGCCGCGCGGTAGCGCCGCAGGGCCTCCGCGGGCGCCGCGTAGTCCGACGAGCCCTCGAAGACCGTGCTCCAGACCTTGTCCGCGAGCTCCTCGTGCTGCCGCGTCGCCGACTGGAGCGACTCCTGCCAGAGCCGCGTGAACTCGCGCTCGTTGTTCACGAGGCTGCAGAGCAGGGCGTAGTCCACGAGGAAGACCCGCGCGTTCAGGCGCTGGCGGACGTAGCGCAGGTGGCGGCCGAACTGCACCATTTTTGTCAGGACCAGGGGGTTCGCTCGCGAATCTTGTCGCCGGGTGCGGTTACGGCGCGGGGGACGGCGGCGCTTGGGTGCACAGCCGACGGTGCTTTGGGAAGGCGCTCGCTTGCAAAGCTGACGGCGCGGGACCCTAAGAATTCAGGCGTTGCGCCCCCGTCATGCGCACCGAGAAGCCGAAGCCGATTTTGTCGGCGGTGCAAGGTCAAGCTCGAGATGTCGAATCTGATCGAGTCAGTGTTACCCTTCAACCACGCCTCCTAGAGCTTCCCGCGGATGGCGCTGAGGTAGAGGTCCGTGGCGGCCTGCTCGGTGACGGGCGTCGGGTTCGAGCCCGAGGACGGGTCCTCGACGGCCATGGGCGCGAGCGTCGCGACGTGCGCCTCGTCGACGCCGATCTCCGCGAGCGTGTTCGGGATGCCGCAGGTCTCGCGGAGTTCGAGGACCCAGTCCGTGACGCCCGTCACCGACGCGTCCTCGAGGTCGAGGTAGCGGCCCAGGGCCTCGAAGGAGTCGGCGATGGCCGGCCGGTTGTGCTGGAGCACGTAGGGCATGACGACGGAGATCGTCTGGCCGTGCTGCGTGTTGAGCAGGCCGCCCGCGGCGTGCGTGAGCGAGTGCATGGCGCCGAGGCCCTTCTGGAAGGCCGTCGCGCCGAGCGTCGACGCGACCATGAGCTGGGACCGCGCCTCGAGGTCGGCGCCGTCCTCCATGAGCCGCGGCAGGTAGTCCTTGACGATGCGCATGCCCTCGAGGGCCATGCCGTGGGCCATGGGGTGGTAGAAGGGCGACGAGAAGGCCTCCATGGAGTGGCTCAACGCGTCGATGCCGACCCAGGCCGTGACGTGCTTGGGCAGGCCCAGCGTGAGCTCCGGGTCGAGGAGCGCGATGGCCTAAAGCGGTCGCGCGCTCGGTCGCGCGGGAGAGAGACGACCGCGGGAGAGAGACGACCGCGGGAGAGACGCGCCTTGGCTCGCGAACGACGCGACGAGCGTCTCTCGGCGTCGCGCGGCTCGCGAACGAAGCGGCGCTCTCCGAAGGTCGCGCGACGCGGGCGCTCGCCGGGAGCATGTTCGCGTGGAAGATGATCTTCTTCGTGTGGTCGCGCTCGTCCGTGATCACCTGGGCAGGACAAGAGTGATTCAACGTCGCTTCAACGTGAGTGTTCCGCGCGCGCGCGTTCCGGGAAAAGCATTCACGCTTCGAGACCGTTCCGAGAGATGATCGCTCGTCCAAAAATCAGCCGAAACGAGGGAAAATGGCCGAGATTGAG